CCTGACAATAATACTTAAATCAAAAATTGAAATAAGTGACCAAAATTTCAAGACGATTTGACTTTTTGATTCGCATTGAGTGTTAATTGATTTATAATTTTTTCTTTACAACTGGAAATATTAATTCAATACCAAAATATTAATAGATTATTTTGAATCTCTTCAATTGAACAAATTAATTAACATGATAAAATTTTTATTTTCAATGTCAACAGTTAATTGTCTTTAATTTCCTTTTAATTGGTACATTTTCCACGTATGGAATGTCTCAAATCTTATAAATAAATAAATAAAATTGACAAATAACTTATTCTCAGAGGTTCTTTTAAGATTTCACTTGATCAGGCTTTAGTGAAATAAGAACGAGAAGTAAGTTGACTAGAGGAAAGCGCTGTGGTATCCAATTCCAACGTGTGGCCGTTGATGGAATGTAACTTTAGGCTTAGAGAAAAGTGCACAAATATTTTCTTGATAAATCGCCAAAATAACAGCGATAATAACGGCAAAAACCATTAAAACCACAGCGAAAAGCGATTCATTGCAATGGATTGCATTGAATGCGACGGAAATAAAGCTGGAAAGCAGATCTTTTTTCTTAGCAGGAATCAAATTCTCAACTTCAATAGGCTTTGGAATAATTTCTATCTTACTCCATGGCTTTATCTCACCAACCACTTCTTTGATTTTTTCTTTCTCCAGGCCAAACTTTTCAGCAAATTGACTTAAATCATCTCTCTCGGTGTCGTAGATAAACGGCTCTTCTTGTCCATCCCAAGTGAGATAAACAATGTACTTTCGCAATGTCCGTTCCATGTTTGATGCACATTCTCGAAGCTCCTTATGATATTCCAAAATTAAATGATTTATTTCGGGATATTTGCCGATGTTCACAGAGTTTAAGGTAAATCTATAAATATCATTCCTAATGAAAAAGAAATAAAAAATAAATAAATAAGTAAGTGAGGTTCAATCAATAAATTACGAAGATAATTACTACGCACTCTAATGGGTTTTCATTGGCGAATTTGAAGAAATCGTTTATATTATAATCCATGTTGTCTAACACAATCACAAAATCTTAACAAAATAATAATAATAAGTCACAAAACAAAACGACAAAATTTGATACGGTGACTTGCACGATTCAATCAAAACTGATGAGAAAAATTCCAATGACTAATATTATAGAAAGAGAAAAACGACTGTGGCGACACTCGTGAGAATTATCCGCAACCAGATCTTTTTGCTGTTCGATCTCTTCCTGACTTCGTCTTTGGTATTTTCTGATGCTTTGAATAAAAACGCCGAACTCAGTCAATTGAGCCTTACCCAATATTCCTACTCGATTTCATCATACTTACTCAAGGTCATGTACTTTGTTACAGTTAACAATTAGATGTTCTCATCCGGAGAAAATCATTTTCTAGGAAAAAAAAAGAAAAAAAATCAGGATCAATTACCTGAGCTCCAAATCTTTATTAAGGTAATAATCAGCTGATGGCGATTCCCCCAAACTAATTTAAATTACACTTTGATAAACAAGATTGTTGGGTTCACATAGAAAATAATTACAATTGTTGATAAATATTCTCATGCTCATTTAATTGAATTGTTGTCATAAATCCAGTTGAATTAACCTTTTCTACTCAATGTTTTAGTCGGTTTCATATCGATGGACAGGTCAGTGGGGTTGATGCTCAATCTTGACAATAATAATATTAGTTTTCTAACCGATAATTTCTGTTAATCTGATTACATGTTTAGCTCTGATTAATGATCAGATTGTTGTAAAAAAGAAAGCTATTAAGCTATTAAGCTAATAGTTTTGAATGGTTGATATAAAAATCAGATAATGAAAATTCAATTTGGTAAAATTGTTTTTCCACAATTAATCATATTCATTAGTGTTTAGATTCACCAATCTAACTAATTGTGAACCTTTTTGAACACATTCACCCGCTTTCAACATGATCTTTTCCACTTTCGATTTAGCCTTTGCTTTAATTATATATTCCATTTTCATGGCCACCATAACAACCAACGAGGTTCCAGGTTCAACTGTATCGCCTTCGGAGACCAAAATTTTCTCGATAACACCAGGCATTGGAGCGACAATACCATCAGCTCCATTGGAGGATTCCATTGATCCGGTTGACCGATAATAAGGTTTAGTTCCAAACTCGAAATTGTAACCATCTTTATCCGAAGTGAACAAAGTAGCTTTAGTTAATCCATCTTGATTGACTCCTAATGAGTTGGTCAATGAACTGTAATCAGCCTCAAGTGTAGCAAAAGGTGACCCATTAAGTGAATCTGAGTATTCATCTGGTTCATGTTGCTTGACCCCAGTAGAGTATTTTTCATAACTGTATGGAAGAGTTAATGTTTTTTGTGAGGTCATCGTTTGGTGTAACCTTTGAGAATCGGGCACTAGTGGACTGATAATTGGACAAAGATGAAATCGACAATGATTCAGCTGATGAGGCAAATACACCGATGGCAGAGGTAAGAGACAAAAGGACGAAAAGAAGCAGAAAAAAGTCAAAAAGAGCCAAAGTTAACCGCCCGTTTCAAAGTCACAAAAAGTTTTATTCTCAATTTTTGGCGAAATATTCACAATAATAACACTTAAATCAAAACAATTCATAATAATCACCAAGATAATTTAATTTTTTCATTTTTGATGCGCGAATTTTGAATGGCAATTTTCAGATAATTTTTTTGTCAATTTCAACTGAAACTCCATTTTTTCATCGATATACTGACCTGAACATTTAGAATCGTAAACATTGGATGTAAGTGAAAAGAATGAAATTTTGAACGTGATTTTTGCCCTCCAGTTTACCTTTTTCCCATCAATCACAGTCTCCGATAGAGATGATCTTAATCAACTTTAAAAATAATTCAGTTTTAGTAAATAAAGTTGACTTCTGTTCATTGATCATGACATCGGTGTCAACTTGACCAGAAGCAAGCAAATTCTAGGTGCTAAACAATCAAGGAAATTTTCATTTGCTTTCGAACCGATAAATTGAATTCGCTTAACGATGCCCAACGAAGTTCAATTAAAGCTCAACTTCGACCTGAAACTCAAACAACCACAAGTTTTGCGATCATTGGATCATAATGAACGGGAATTTCATCACCACTTCGAACTTCCATTTCGAACCCTACATTCTAACAATGTTCAGGTAACTTAATTTGTCCACGTTTACCATAAATTTCCAATGATTTCATCAATTAATTAATTAAATTACCAGATTCTTGATTCCAAAAGAAATAGCGCCAAGCTCAAATCACCACTAATTCTTCAAATTTTTACTTTTTTCTGTTGTTATCCTAAAAAGAATTCACTTCATCAATAGACTAAAATTTTCTTATTCATATTCATTGAAAGAAATTATCGTAAATGTGCTAATCGAAACACTTATAGTTCCCTTTCGGCTTTAGGTCTGAGGACAAAAACGCCAAAAGGAAAAAGTTGTTTTTCCAAAACGTTGATTCCTTAGCAACACCTTTGGATCTTCAGTTGTTATGAATTCTGTTTACATCAACTTGTTGCTTTGGTTTTCTTTTTATTTCTTATCAAATCTTAGATTTAGATTATGATTTAGATACGAAAGTTAATCTGATGATCAGATCTGAATTCACCTTGTTCCAAAATGTATTTAAATCATTTGTTCCTCTTCAACAATTTACGGAATAATTTACTAACCCAAGGGAAAAGTGTAATCAGAATAATCAACAAATCTAAACCTTTGGTAATTTCCAAACAATCAAATGTTTCTTGTGCCTTTTCCTCATTTAATCATCATCGGGTTTCACCATTGGCGATAAAATTTCCAATTCAATCAAGATTAATTCACACTAATTCAGGTAAGTCATTTAAACAATTTAATTGGTTCTATTGTGTTTCATTGTTTTCTTTTTTTCACTCAATAGGTTTATGGTCTGGGAAATTGGTTTCTTTCAATTTATCTGATATCGGTGAGGGTATTTCCGAGGTTGTGGTCAAGGAATGGTTTATAAAAACTGGTGATGAAGTTAATCAGTTTGATTCAATTTGTGAAGTTCAATCAGATAAAGCAAGTGTTACAATTACAAGTCGCTATGATGGAGTAATTGAAAAAATATATTACGAGATTGATGAGATCGCAAAGGTTGGAAAGCCGCTTGTTGATATTAGGCTTAAAGAAGATGGTAAAGAAGGATTAGTTCAATCAAATCAAGTTGATCAAGTTGCTGATTTAGAGGCTAATCAAATATGTGACTCTCAGCCTACCAGTGTATTGGATTGGAAAGGTGACAAAGTGTTGACCACACCAGCGGTCAGAAGAATCGCCTCTGAGAACAATATTAAATTGAGTGATGTTAAAGGCTCGGGAAGAGATGGTCGGATACTCAAAGAGGATCTTCTCAAATTCATTGAGACATCGAAAAATGTAACATCTATTAAGGTGGAAAGTGAAACATTCGTAAAGCCTCAGCCTCAGTCTCAGTCTTTTGAAAAAGTCCCGACAAAATTTGTAACAACGGAGACAATTAAGTCTCCGTTAGTGGACAAAAGTGTTCCCTTCACTGCCATTCAACGAGCTATGTTTAAATCGATGACACAATCATTGGCGATTCCACATTTTGGTCTAAGTGATGAGGTTAATTTAACTAATCTGTTGAACATTTTACCTAAACTTCGGGAACAAGCATTAGCAAAAGAAATCAAATTAACTTTCATGCCCATTTTCATCAAAGCTTTATCGATAGCTCTCAGTGATTTTCCACTAATCAATTCATCAATTGATGAGAAAAATGAGAAAATAATTTTAAAATCTTCTCACAATATTGGATTTGCTATGGACACTAAGGATGGTTTAATTGTTCCGAATATAAAACATGTCGAAAATTTATCAATCATTGAAATCGCTCAAGAAATGAAGAGACTTCAAATCGATGGTGCCAACAATAAATTACGAAGAGAGGATTTAACTGATGGAACGATAACTTTATCAAACATTGGATCAGTAAGTTGTTAATCATCAGCTGATTGTAGATGAAAATTAACTAAAGATAATTAATTTATTTTCTTAATTCTTTTTTCTTTTCCCTCAAAACCAATAGATCGGTGGTCTTTTTGGTATCCCAGTAATTCCTCCTTCACAAGTCGTTATTGGTGCCATTGGACAGATGAAAAGTGTTCCTATTTTCAACGAAAAAGATGAAATTATCAAAGGAAATTTTGTTAATATTCTATGGTCAGCTGATCATCGAACCATCGACGGGGCCACTTTATGTAGATTCTCATCAGTTTGGAAATCGCTTCTTCAAGATCCAATTAAGATGCTCACCCAACTAAAATAATGTGACAATGGAGACAAAAACAAACGATTACTGTTACAGAGACATTGCCAAATTTATTGACTATTTTGACATTATTTGTTTACTATGAAACTTGATTAACTTTCCACTGAATGTTGAATAATTAAAATTAATTCTAATTGTTAATTTTATCAATCAAAATTCTCAAAGTACAATAGTGAAAACAGAGATGGCGATAGAAGAACGAATCATGTGACTAATCATGTGTTTTTCTTTGATGAATTGAAACGTTTTGTTTTCGTTTTAATTTTGTTAATTTTCTAAAATTTTCTACTAATTGTGTTTGTCTAATTAATCGATCAACTGTCTAACAATGGGTATTTTAGAAAGAATTTCTGAAATCGAAAAGGAAATCGCTCGAACACAAAAGAATAAAGGTTCGTATTTTGATTGACAATCAATTGGACAATTTGATTACTCTTTGTAACCTTAATGTTAATCTATTCTTTTATTTTAATTTAGCTACTGAATATCATTTGGGTCTTCTCAAAGCTAAATTAGCCAAGTATCGATCTCAACTATTGGAGCCAACAGGTAAAGGTGCAGCTAAAGGTGATGGATTTGATGTTATGAAATCAGGAGATGCTCGTGTAGCATTAATTGGGTTCCCGTCAGTTGGAAAGGTAATGAACATTTTTCATTCGTTTTTTTTTCTAACATAAGTGAACTTGTCTACAAGCAATTGGATTAATTTACTGTTTTAATCTCTTATTTAGTCAACATTGTTAAACACTGTAACTGAAACTAAAAGTGAATGTGCTGCTTATGAGTTTACAACTCTAACATGTATTCCCGGTGTAATTCAATACAATGGTGCTAATATTCAACTTCTAGATTTACCTGGAATCATTGAAGGAGCTGCTCAAGGTTTGTATTACTCTTTCTCCCTCTCACTCTCTCTCTCTCTCTTTAATCTCTAAATAATGACAATAATTTTAAATAAATTGTTACAATTACAGGAAAGGGAAGAGGTAGACAAGTTATCGCTGTCGCTAGAACTGCTGATTTGGTTATCATTATGTTGGATGCTACAAAGAGTGAAATCCAACGACAATTACTTGAGAAAGAATTGGAATCAGTTGGAATTAGGCTTAACAGGAGACGACCAAATATTTACTTTAAGGTAATTTGATAAATTGTTGATTAAAATGTCTCTTCAAATATTCAAACAATTGATTTGATTTCTTTTTAAATAGGAAAAAAAATCTGGTGGAATTTCATTCAACGCAACATGTAATCTGACGAAACTTGACGAAAAATTGGTTTACGGAATTTTACATGAATACAGTAAGTTGCTAATTCAATTGAAGAATTAAACTTTGTATTCCTGAACGAAATCTATTCTCATTCATATTCTCATTATTTAGAAATGTTCCATGCTGAAGTTCTGCTTCGTGAAGACTCCTCAACGGACGATCTAATCGATGTTATCAGTAAAAATAGAGTTTATCTTCCATGTTTATATGTGTACAACAAAATCGATCAAATTTCCATTGAAGAAGTGGACAAATTGGCCCATCGACCCTTCAGTGTAGTTGTTAGTTGCAATATGAAACTTAATTTAGATTATTTCCTCGAAAGGCTTTGGCTTCATCTCGCCCTGATTCGAGTTTACACCAAAAAACCTGGAAGTAAGACAATTTGCAATTACAAAGCACAATCAATTTTAATTTCTATTCTAATCATGTTCTCCCCTTGTAATCTTTCAGATGCACCCGATTTTAATGATGCACTAATCTTAAGAAGAGGAGCTTCAATTGAGCACGTTTGTCATGCTATTCATCGTTCGATAGCCGAAAGTTTCAGATATGCTCTTGTATGGGTAAGTAAATAACCAAGAATTTCATAGTTCGACATAACTAATTTTCTTTTCGATTTTTCATCTTATATTTTGCTTTAGGGAACAAGCACAAAATACAGTCCGCAAAGAGTTGGTCTCTCCCATATTGTTCACCATGAAGATGTTGTTCAAGTTATTAAGAAAGTTTGAAAGTTTTCCCATTAAATTGACATCTAAAAACTTTTGGAATACTGTCAAATAATTTATTAAATCATTTTGAATATTATTTAAATGCCATCTAATTACTGATTTATCTGTCATGAAAAACCGATGGACAAAAATGGATCATATTGAATTTCCATCAATATAAAACAAATAAGCAGAGAATTGTAAATGATTAATTTTCTTTATTCAGTTCAGTACTTTGATTAGATTCATCATCTTGAGAATCATCATCTTCATCATCATCATGTAAACTTAAGCCTAATTCCTTCAGCAAATTTGGATTTATGGCCATACTGTATCGTTGTTTAAGGACTTCGATCTGTTCTCGCTTTTTCCTTTTGAAAAATCCAACCTAAATATAAGAATATGGTTTGTTAATTGTTGATCATTAAACATCGTTCTAATGGTGTCTTTGATTACCTTGATTAAAGCTATAATGATCAATAGTAGAAACAGTAAACCTGTAAATGAACATGAAATGATAATCCAAAGAGCAACAGCTTCTTTGTAGGGTAATTGTTTCAGTTGAATATCTGAATTAGTTAATTTTGACCATTGATTATTTCCTTTGACCATTTGATCAAAAAATGCGGTTTTTGCTTCAACTGAATAATTGAAAACTTTAACATTCGATCCAAATGATTTCTCCAATTTCTCCAAATTAACTGCAACAATCATCTTAATTGTTAGTCCCTTCTCTCCGGTTCCAATGTTGCCAAGTTTACACTCGATTTCCTTACACTTTGTCGTTGAACAATCCTACGATTAACGATCGAAATTAGATAATTTGATCAAATTATTCAAGTATTTAGAACTCACCAAATTGATCTGTGAATCTAGAATTTTATTTTCATTTCTTAAATTGTCTCGTTTTTGTCTTGCTAACGAAATTTGATCACTTGACTTGAGAGCTTCGGATGTTGCACTACTTTCGGATGGTGGATACTCATTCTCATCATTTGGACTGTGTTCTAATCCCAGAGGTTTACAAGATATCGGCGTTAAATCATGAACCTGGTGTAAACAATACGATTAACATGTGAAGCAAATATTAGCGATTATACTGATTATTACCTCAAATTTAGGCTCGTAGATGAAATCGGAACCGGATGAAGAAACCGGTAGACTGAAAGTAACTCTTGGACTGCGGATGGAACTGTAATTACTTTTTCGAATTAAGAACAATAGAGCGAATTTCTTGTGCTTTACTGATCGAGTTTCTGGATGTTCGAAGAATATTGGATCACTTATTATTCTAGAAAAGAGAACAAAAAGAGAAATGAATAAAATTAAGATAATTTAAATTCGTAACTGTGACTTACCCATCAATAGTTAACGAAGCGACTCTTTCAATTGGAATAGATAACGATTGTTTAATTGATCCATTGACAGTTGATCTTAAATCACTTCGAGTTGTAAAGATACAAGTGAAGTTAATTCGTTGTTGATCATAAATTATTGAAGATTTCAAGTTAAATGGGATTAAAAACTCATTCGAGCCTGGACCAAGCGGATTACCAACATCTCGATTGATTATTAAAGTTGTATCGTTGAAAATATCATAAGAATTGATCTGAGTTTTCAAAGGAGGTTCAACAATTAACTCTAATTTTGACGAATGAGCGTTTTCCCCATAATTGTAAAGAGAAACAATCAATTTAACTGAATCATGAAAACCTTCAATTACTGATTGTAATGAGCCTAATTCATCAACTAATTTAATAGACAATGAAACATCAGAAGTACATATACCATCAGGACCACAACCAGTTTCGAAAGTAATTTGATCTTTTATTTGTGACCCAATCAAATGTGGACAAGTTGAACAAAAGTCAATCGATTCGTCGTACAGTGAATAGTTCAAAGTGACCTCCATTGGCGTTAATTTATCACGAACATCTTTCTGCAATAAGAATAAGAAAATAATTAATGATGAATAATAACAATTCCAATAATTCATATCAAATCTCACATTGATCATTAATTGAATAGGATTTTCACAAAACTCTCTATGAGAGCTAATTGTTATCCGTTTAGAAAATGATCTAAATTTTGAATTGTTCTGAATGAAATATGCCCTCGGTGTTTCATCGGGTCGTAATAACGTGTCAATATCCAATATCAAGTTAATTGTGTGATAACCATTGAGATAATTTCCTCTCAAAATCATACAATAAGTCAAATTGAAACAAGGAACCAAATCCTTTGAGTTGATATTTTTACAATTTTTTCTGTTCACATCAATTGAAATGACATCAAATTTGAGATCTACTTTCAGAGATCCAATTGGTTTTGATCTGAATTTCATGAAAAAATAAGAAAATCTAATGAAAATCTAATTGTTATTGGAAAATCCTTCTAATTGTCAAACCTCAGGACAACGGCCGAATCAGATAATGGAGATCCAATCAGTAAATCGGGATAATTGTTTCCATCCATGTCGAAAGCTTTTGAAAGACTGAAGCCAAATCCTTTTAATGGTTTAGATGATTTAAGTTTATTATTAGGATCACAAGCTGAGATTTTCTGCAATTTAAATAGTTAGAAAATTGAATTATTGACAATTTATTAATTCTTAGATTACCTGAGAATATTTCTCTGTTAATCCAGATCTACTTCCATGATAGATATAAATGGCTCCACACTCATCTTCAAATGGAGCTCCGATAACAACATCTAATCATTAAGGTAATCGAAATTAAATCTTTTACTAAGCAATTAGATTGTGTTCACCTTTATATCCATCGAAATTAATGTCACCAAGTTGTGCCATCGATGAACCAAATCGGGATTTGGGATTACTATCTCCATATTTGAAAACTGGATTAGCAAAAGTCTGTTTATCATAATTTAACAATTAAGATTGACGATGAGTTTGAGTAATAAAATTGAAAGATTATTATTATTATCATGATAAAGTTACCTCGCCATTGCTCAGGTAAATGTAACATCTTCCAATGTCACCTCGACGATGATTGTTGGGAGAGTAAAGAGGAGCTCCAACAATTAGATCATCAAATGAATCACCATTAATATCGACAATTAATACTGAATATCCAAAATATTCCCCGGTATCTATTCCTCTTAATCGTTGAACTCCAGGAATCGATGATGATGATTTACTTGATCCAAATTGTAGATTGTCAAACTTGAAATAGCAAACCTAATTGTATCCAAATGAAATACAGAGGATAGTTTAATTTACTTAATTATCAGAAAACCGATGATAATTTACCAATCCAGTGTGTCCATCTCTTGGTGCTCCACTCGCAACGTACAACTTTTTATCCCTGAAAAAGTGACCAGTGGCCAAAGAATAACCAAAATATGAATCTGATGGTGAATCGATATGATTTATCCGAATTGATGATGAATCTTCAAGCTTATTGTATACTACAATGGCTCCTCGCCACCCTGAAAATCCAGGAGCTCCAATAATCCATCGATTATAATCCTAACAAGAATTGAATATTATCGATCAAGCAAATTGATTCTCATTTGAATAATTTACCTCAATGAAAAGAGTTGAGAATCCAAACATCCCATGAGAAAAGTAATAAAAGTTTCCAGAAATTTGAGCCACTGAGCCAAATAGTAACAATTAATTTCCTCACAACTAATTACATTCAACTTTATATACTTACGATTCTCAAATGGTATCATGATTTTATCATATTTTGCTTCTGATTGTTCAGCTAATTTGATTGTATAACAAGCACCATTTGGATAATCAGAATTAGTTTGAACGCTTTTAGTTTTAAGGTGAGAACAAGCAATTGCTGATGATGATTTAGATTTACTTGCGAGTGAAGACCCAAGATGCATATTGGCAATTGAATCTAACAGTTAAATGAACGAGTAACAATTAGCTGATTATCAATCATTGATTTAGTTTAAGTTCTTACCTGTTGGCTCATCGATTTGGGTACATTGAGCTTTCGAGTTGTTAACAATTAACTGACAATCAAAAACAGCTCCGATTCGTTTTGATGGTGATCTAATTGAATTTGCTTTTGGTGCTCCGATTAAAATTCTGAAGAAAACAATTAGTTAATTTACTTGCATTTGATTGGTTTAATCAACTTACCTTGAATACTTATTTTGATGAATTACAACTGAAGCACCAAAATCAATGTTAATTGTTTCACTTTTTAATTGTGGTTGCAAAATGATTGGATAGTCTGTATCAATATTAAATGATTCACTTAAATCCAGCACAATTAAGACTACAAGAGAACTAATTAATTTTCCAAATAATTGTAGCATTTTTTTATTGTTCATTTAGATTTAATTATAATGATTCTCATCATAGTTTCTAAATAATTAAAAATCTTATATTTCGAGTTGATATTTTCATCTATCCAGAGGAAGTTAACAGGAAACAGGAAACTCGCAATCAGAATATTAACCTGAATAGTTTTATCTATCACTAAATTAAACTGCAAAGTTAACCAATCAATCGCTAATCAACTTATCTATTGATCAATTTTTCACATTCGAGTGATATTTTAATTATATCTTTCCAATTAACTCCAATATAAGTTAGTCAACAGAAAGAAGAAGATGAAAAAAAAGAGAATCCGATCAGTTCGAAACAAGTGAATTAAATCAAATTCCATAAATTAATTATCATCTTAATCAATCGAAATCAAGAAGAAAAAAAAAGAAAAGAAATTAAATCAACAATTAAAAAGAATCGATTTTTTTCTGGTTTTCTGGTTGGAAATCGATCCATCGATGGTCATATGATTTTCTGTTGATTGATAAACATTTTCAACTCAACTTGTTTTGAATTTAAATCTTTTTGTTTTCCATCAATTCTTTTGAAATTAATTAACAATTTACTGATCAGTGGAATCTCCTGACGTTAATTAACTACAAATGGTAAGTTTGAGACAAGTTTCTTTTCGTAAAATGGTTTTTAATTGTTCTAATTTATTTATTCTTAGGCTGTTCCATGTTTATCAATGTTTTATAGACAAAGCTTGATGCCAGGTCTCAATGCGTTAATGTCTTTACAATCTCGTAACATTTACTATGATAGGAATACATGTCGACCTCATTCACATCCTGAGGTGCTTAAGAGATACTTTCGACTTCGATGGGGTGGATGGATTCGTGCTAGACCGGGTTTTAAGCGGCACTTGTGGAAGAAACCGTTTTGGCTTCGATCATGGGCCATTCAACATGTTTTCGTTAAGGACAAGGAAAGGGAAATGCTGGAGAAAATGATCTCTGCAGATTATAAGAGAAGTCGATATTTTATCGATGATATTTATGAACCTTACCATCGACGAACCGATATCGATATTTGTCCACCCGGTCAAAGAAAAGTTTGTAAAAGTTACATAAGATCAATTGAATCTCTCAATTGAATTGGATATTAGAAATGTATATATTATATATACTTAGTGTTTAATGGAGTTAAAAATTACAAACAAAATTTACTTTGCATTTGTATAATTGTTAATTGGTTGGTAAAATCTTCAAAAATAGAATAATAATTAATGTTATTTAGGTTATCCCACGAAATTGTGTTATCAACGAATCGGCGATTAACTTTCCATCTCTGTCCTTTATTCTTAAACGTCCAGTTGGAAATCGAGTCTCTTCTGTCCCATCCGAATGAATTGTCTTTACGGTTCCATCTAGATATTCTCTTCTTTTAAATTCTTTTGTTCGAATTTCTCTTTCACCGTTTGAAAGTTCAATTATTTCAGTTCCATCAACTGAAATTCTGATAATTGTTCCATCGGGTGTTATCGTCTCCTCTGATCCATCAGCTCTAATCACTCGTTGAGTACCATTGGGATAGAATATTGTTTTAGTGCCATTAGTGGAGACTCGTTCAATTTGACCACTAAAAAGAAAAGAAAAACATAGCAAAGATTAAATCAAATTGATTAGACCAAATTGTAACAATAATCAAAGGGAATTGGCGAATAAAATTATTACCTGGGAAATTCAACAACTCGTGTTCCATCAGAATGAGTGATCTGTCTGACTCCAGAGGCGTAATTGTAAATCTATTTGGAAGAATTTGAAAATTTTCGATTAGTAATCATCTTGATTGTAATTTCGACAGTTTCGATTACTCTTACAATTGTATCATCACTTGTCTTCATAATTTGATCGCCATTATCAAGTGTCAGGTGAGTTCCCGTTTGAAGTTGTTGAATCTGAGAGTATAATGAGGTTTCTGGTGATGTGATCACTTTTGCACTTGATGAAGGTAAATTTAATTTGATTCCTTGGTTTGAATTTTCTTTAGTCAATAATTTGGTTTCAATTGTTTCTAATTTGTTGGTCAATGAAAAGAGATGTTTCTTAATCTCACTCATTTCTGAGAATATCTTTTCCGGTGAAAACTTTTCAACGCTCGGTGATTCTCGAGATTTATAATCAGCGATATTCTGTTGACATTTGACAGTTAACTCTTTGAGACGATCTTCGAGTGTTTCAATCTTCTGTTTAAGAGATAATGTATAACTGCTAATTCGAGGAGTAGATAGAAGATCAATCTCAGCTTCTTCTTTATTGGAACTCGATTTACCCAATGTAAAGGTTCCGGTTCTTGTTATCTTTTTATTCAGCAAAGGTTTCGATAGAATTTTATTTCTAATTGGCTGTTTTCTCAGTAATTCTGTTTCCTCGTAATCATCTTCCCAACTTTCTTCGTCTGATTGCTCCTCAGAAACACGTTGTTGAAGTTCTTGTTGTTTCACTTGAATGTTTTTCAATAATCGCTCCAGGGCTTCGACTCGAGGCTCGTCGTTTTCAAAGTTCACTCGTTTCTCCTTAAGGTTCATACTACTCAATTTCTTACAATTCTTATCCTGTTGACAAGAAGAAAATTTATATAAAAGTTAACAATTAATAGTTGAAAGAGAAGATAAAAGTTCGATACATACTTTTGAAAGGAATTCATGAGATATAATATGATTTGATTGTTCCCGTTGAATTGGTTCGATCTCATTGGAATATCGAGAGATGATTGGATTTGATTGTCTTTTCCTGAAGTTGGTCTGCTATTTATGATTCCATTTGTCTGAATTTTCTTTGGTTGAATTGAAACTCCATTCAATTCTGAAACATATCGTTTACTATTATTATTAACCTGAGGTGCTGGTTTAATAGTCACTTTTTTCCGATTATTGTCATTGCGAATATTATTATTGCTCTTGGTTTGATCACTTTTCTTTGAACAATGTCTCTCATTGAGACAGTTCACTTTTTCTGCTTCGTCCATAAATTGTTGTTCCAATTTTTTTCGGCAACAATGTCGACGCTCTCGTTTCGGTGTATCTGGTTTAGGAGCAAATCTAACCAGTCCAGAACCTTTTCTAAGAAAAGGTTTCTTTGGTTTCTCTGTATCTTCCATACCTAAATTAGCTGGACTATCATCTCGCTGAAGAGCATATTCCACAAGCTCGTCAAATGTTTTCACTTTTTTACCATCAATAGCTGGTAGAATTGGAGTGTCATCCAAAGAAATACTCCAAAAATGAGTTCCATCCAATGAACTGATCGAATCTTGGCTTTGACTTCACACAGATAGAAAGAGAAAGAGAGAAACAATTAATCAAATCATCGAAAATTGTATTCAACTAAAACATTAACAGAAAAAAAAGAGAATCAAAAAACTCATACTTACTCATATGCAACAGAAGCAGAATTATTATAAGAAGATTCCTCTGGAATTGATTGTAATAGATGATTCGCAATTCGATCAGTCATCACAACAAGGGAACAATCAACTAATTGTCAATGACAGTGAGATAACATATGAGATACAATAGAAGTGGAAATGTTTAATTAAACTGAGCAACCAAAGAGTAACCAAAACAAAAGTAGTTAATGTTTGGCTCCAAAATTGAAAACAAAACCGACCAATCAGAGAAGAGAAAATTATGGCGGCAAAAATTAAAAGAATAAAATTCGACCGTTTAATTTTTGTTTTCTCAATACATTTAATTTAATTGATTTCTTTTTCTTTTTTATACAAAATTTATGAATTTCAGATTGTTTACATTCTATCTTGGTTTATATAAACAGGGTTTCAATGTGATATCAGGTAAATTGGAGATTTCTTGTTTGAGTAAATTTTTCTTTTTCACTGCATTGATGAAAACGAAAAAATTATTTGGTGGTAAATATTCACGTTCAATTATCTGGAATCCAAAAGATTTCAGTTTCCCTTCAAATTTTTCAATCTTCAAATCTTCAAATCTCGATGAAACCTCAGCAATCATCAGCATTCCATGTTTTTTTAACAATCTATTCGCTTCTACCATCAAATCTTTTATATTGGTTGCCATTAATGATAAACTGTAAACAGCAATGTCAACGGATGAATTATCTAAAGGTACGTTGACCATATTAGCAGCGATAATATCTTTATGGTGAGAAATTATATCAAAGGAATGAACTTTAGCCTTTTTGTTAAGTTTCACCTTAATTGTTGGATATTGTCCACAGCCAAGATCAGCAATGATCCATTTTTTATCCCAATCTGGACCAGCAAATGATTCAATCTTTTGGATTATATGATCAACCGGTTTAACAGGCCACTTACAGGCAATCTCATCGTAGGCCTCATGGTATTGCTTGAATTTTGTAACATCATTCATGAAATCAAAACCTTTGTCACTCGGTTTTGAGTAAATGAATTCATTCATTTTTCGGAATCTTGAATATTCCATTTGTTTTTTACATCTTTCAGCTAACAATTTACTACGTGTAACTTTCTCCTTCTTTTTAAACATAATAATTATATAACCGAAAACTAATCACAATTTAATTAATAACAAAACCAACAAACAGATAACACAAATGTAAACAAAACTGTTGTTCAAAATTATTTACATGTGAAAATTTTTTGTCAACAATTTGGGAAAACAAGAGTTGAAGCGCCAAATACAAAAAAGATTTTCCAGATTGAACTTCAATCATTGAAGGATAAAGATGAAGATGATGAAAATATTTAGATTTAACAAAAATTGTTTTTAGTTTTGCAGGGGGATCTAAACAAAGAGTAATAGCTTATCACTAATTTGTTAAGTTGTCAGATCATTTGCGACATGTGGAACTTGCGGTCAATTTATTTAAATGCAACGCAATTATGGAACAATGAATTGTCTTTACGGTTCCGTCTATTGTCTTCTTTTAAATTTTTTGTTCGAATTTCTCTTTCACCGTTTGAAAGTTCAACTATTTCAGTTCCATCCACTGAAATTCTGATAATTGTTCCATCGGGTGTTATCGTCTCCTCTGATCCATCAGCTCTAATTAAAGAGAAAAGAGATGTTTCTTAATCTCACTCATTTCTGAGAATATCTTTTCCGTTGAAAACTTGAGATGTCGGTGCTGAAATGAAAATTTAACGATTTGAAAGACTTATCTTTGCTGGGAAAAAGTGACCTGAAGTTTCAACTTCGAACTCGATTTTCTTAAAGACTACTTATTAGATCAGAAAATAATATATTTGGACTTGATATTTGTGGCCTTACAAATACTCAAAGTCTCAACTCTCAACTAAAAACACTAATTGTTTGCAAATTGTCCTTTGTCAGAAATATTCTAATCATTACTCTTCTCTTATTAAATGAGTTCTCTAACTTATTTTTATTCTTTTTTTGACCAAAAAGTTTTCGAAAAGTATATCGAATACTTGAAAATAAATGTCCCCAAACTTGACGAATCATCAGTTGTTCAAAAAAGTTTCAATCATTTTAATTTTAATCAAATTGGAAAGATAATTACAATTACTTTATCATTGGGTAACTTATAATACAATTAATGGATTGAAATATTTTTCAGAATAAATTACTAATTCTAATTTAGTGATCAACACTCGTTCTATCATCAGAATATTTTGTCATCTTTTGATTAGCGAAAATCGCTCTTGATCCATGTCTATTGATTGATGAACTATGAGCTTCGGCGTTAATCGATGAATCTTCAAGATGCTTACGATTATTATTTTGATTACTATTATTCTGATTAGTTGAACATGAGCAGCATAATTTTTCTAGAGTAGTTAATAAATTACGATTAAAGAACAGGTAAATCCAAGGATTAACGCAACTATTAAGGTTCGGAAGTAGCATCGCAATTGTAATTAATGGACCTGAAAAGAAAAACAAAAAATTAGTTCAATATATCAAAACAATTGTTACAAATTCAACAGTTAATCGAATACAATTAAAGAATCGTCCAATTTCACCTTCTAATAATATGAAAATCTATGTTAATGAGATCATTAATTATTCACAGTTAGTTAATTGTTGTTGTGTATCGTTAATGGAATCACTTGAAATTCATCATTAGACATGCGTTTGTTACTCTTAAATTGTTTACAATTTAGCTCCACTAATATACAGTAAATCAATTGAGAAATAAGAAAAATAATAAGTACAAGAAAACAACAACAATCAGTTGATTGTTAAGAAATGAAATAAAAATAAATAGTCAAGTTAACAATAAAATCAAAACAATGATAAGTTGATTGTTAAGATTTTTCAACTAAACTGAACATAAGAAGCTTGAAAATTTATCGGAATACCCTCTGAATACACCCAGAATTAAGTTCAACAATCATTTTATTTGACCAGGATTAAAATCATGTAACTAAATTGTTGAAAAATTTTAACAATCAATCAACAGAAAACAAAACTTTCCATCATTATAATTGCAAAGAAAACCATTAAATTGCTGTGAATGAATCACTGATACTAACAAATCGTTATCCTGATTAATATGTATACAGAATCAAATTAATTTTAAATTGCGAAATGATTAAATTCAGTAACAATAATAAGCTACAAATCACAATTTGAAATCACATCATTAGAACAGATTATTATGTATATATATTAATTGCTTCACATGTTTATCACCATCAGTAACAATTAAATTGAATTTCATACATCCATCTAATTGTTATAACAATGTTTTCCTCTTAATTGTCATGATATAAACATTATCTAGTTATTAATTGTGTTGCTAAGTTAAATGAGTCGTAAGAGTTGATCACTTGATGACATTAAATTAACTAGTGTCTATCATGATTAAGTTGAAATCAATAATAACAATTGTGCCCATTAATAAAACTAGATTATCTCATCTAGACAATCAAGTGTAACCAGTTAATTCACAATTTGATTAACCATTATCATCATCAGTATAACAATTATTATCATTTGATTTATTCCATGCATACAAATACAAGTTGACCTAATAAACTAATCTCAGATTGATTGTCAAACTAATACTTAATTATAATAACAATCAATGAGTTAACTGAATCAATTGAAAAACTACACAACTCAGCAATTATTTTTTCGTGATTTTCTCAACATTAATAGTACGAGTTTGAACAATACTCGATCGTCGTATTGAAAGATCAAGGTCACTTAGGTCGTCGAAAGGACAAAGAACGCATTTCAAGGTCATTATATTACTTTACATATTTTCCCATCGTTCAACCTCATATCTTTCATATCTTTCAAGTCTTGAATTCATAGGACTTATAGTTACCATGAAAATGCCATGAAAGAAATAGCTGAATGTTATTCACAAGATATTAACTTTCATCTTATCAAATGAATGAAGCTTTTTTTGTTGTTGATTAATTGTAAAATTAAATAGCTTGTTAAAAGTGCTATTTAATCATCAATTCAACTGTATTTGATGAAACAAACAACTAACAATTAAAACTAATTGCTCATTTAACATCCAACAGTAGACAATAATAATAAGATAATAATACCTGGAGCTTTTTTTGACAAGGGAGAAATTGATTAACTTTAAAAGTAGAAAGTTAATCAAATTTAAATTAAATCTCCAACTTATCCAAGGGATAATGATTATGTTTAAAGTTCATTAGAAAGTTTCGAGAACTCGAAAAAGTAATAAAGAAAAAAAAGTTCTATTCTGAATAAAAAAAAAATCGATTCGGTGATTTGTAAATATTTATCATGATATTACAAAGAAGGGCCATTTACATACACCCACAGAATTAGCCGATGGATTTCATGGATCGAATTGAACTATTCAAGATTTACCATGAATAATAATATTCGTACTTACTAAGTATCAATAACCTTTCTTTTCGTGCTCAATGAAACTTCAATTTACAATATAAAGTTAACGATAATCATAAGAATATCAAATTAGCTCAATTGTTTATCGTTTTCTACTGGGATATCATAAGTTCATATTCATTTTTCCCAAGTTGAAAACTTTTTACTTTTACATTTTATAGAAATTATCGATTATTCAAGATTCGATTCAAATTAATATCTTTTGATTAACATGTCATATAACCTTGAAAAAGGAAATGACAGAGAACTTAATTTGTATATATCATAGATTAATCAAAATTCCAAATGTAATTCTGATGTTTCTCTCTCTCTCTCTCTCTCTCTCTCTCTCTCTCTCTCTCTCTCTCTCTCTCTATTTATCAGACAGTTTCAGTTACATTCGATATGAACAGTTCTAGATAACAACAATGTGATCATATAAGATGAAAGTATGAAAGGTATCGCATTGTTCATGGACAAAGAGACAGGGAGAGAGAAAGAGAAAGAGAAAGAAAGAGAGAAATAAAAACGATTTGAAACGGTAAAAATTTCGAAGAAAAAAAAACTTATTATTATAATAATAAGCATTCAAAACCAATTTGAAACTGATTTAACTGATATAACGAATGAAAGAATGGTGAAGAAAAGATTTTCCCTGCATCACCAAGGAAGACATTCAGGATTATTCAGCATATATAGAGAATTGAGAGATAGACCGAAGATTCTGGGAAAAAGAACAGAATTTGAAAAAGAAATAGAAGAAGGAAAAAAAAAGAAATACCAACCCACGAGGTAGGGATGAGAAAACTAAAGCAAGAAAAGAGATATTCAAAAATGAATAGTTGCTTGTTTTATGTATATACTTTTTTGTTACTTCTTCGCAAGGATCAATCTGTTGTATGGAATCTGAATCGAAATAGAAAATAAAAATGATATAGAGAATCATGATAATCTTAATAGTGATGGTTACGAAGTTAAAAGACGACGATGGTAGAGATGAAGATGATCATTCAGCTCGAAAGAAACAATGAATTTAAGTTTTTCCACTCTGAGAGCAATCATGTTTTCGTTATTCTCTTTTTCTCCATCTTCTTCTTTTCTTTATTATCATTATCATGATTCCCAGAATCGAACATAATAATAATAGAATAATTCTTTGAATCAATTTGTTAAAGTAGAAAGTTGATTGTCCAAACTTTCCTTGTTTCCGAAAACTTTTCAACCCAATAACCTTTAATGATATTTGACCCTTCAATTGATACTTTGTTAGTTATTTGGTAGTAATTGTATTCCAATTCAATTGTTGTTAAAATCAACAGATTCAATGACAATTCATTATTGTTGATCGATTCAAATTCAACTATTAAATGAATTACTATTAAACAATTACTCTATCATGTAAATGATCACTTTAATTTCAGTTAATTTGATGATTTTTTTTTTCATCTCATTGAAACTTGAATATTTTTCCTCTGATTTCATTGAAATTGGAATATAATGAAAACCTTGATATTTACCCTGCGGCAACTATTACAAGACTGGGATTTAGAATGTAATTGATAAATTGAGAAATATGAATTGTTGGGAGATGGAAAAAAAAATCTATCGATTTGAATATCAAGTTAATTGAGAAGCCATTAGATTAATGATAAACTTGTCAATTCGTCAAATAATGTAACATGATGATGACAAGTTTTTACCAGTTTATTAGCACATTAATAAGCTGATAGGAGAAAATGTTTGTCATTGACTTTTCATTCATGATCAAAGAATCAAATTAATGAACTCTCA